GGCGCGAGCTGCCCAGCCGCCCTGGGTTCCCCCCCCCCCCCCCCGCTGCTGCTGGCCACGAGGCACCAGGCAGCGGCGCTCCCCAGGGACGCTCGGGCCGTCTCTGCAGGACAGCCCCGGGCTCCGCACAAGCCCTGAGCTCTGCCTGCCCCTGCCCTTTGCCTGCGGGGTTGCTCTAAGCAGCCTGTACCTCCCGTGGAGGTGGCACCCTGCCGCCTTCCCGTGCTCGCAGCTGGGGCTCCGCGCTGATGCGGCTGCCCCCTTCCCCAGAGCTACGGGCCTGAGCACTTGCTGACCTTCCACAACCTCAAACGCCTCGGGCTGCTGACTGAGCAGTCGGCTGGAGAGACCCTGACGGCTGTGGAGAGCAAAGTCAGCAAGCTGGTGACGGACCGCGCCGCAGGTGAGAGCCAGCCCTCGCTGGGCCGCGGGGAGCCCCGAGGCAGAGACCAGCCCCGTCGGGAGCCGCTGCCTGAGAGCTGGCGGGAAGCACATGGCAAACGCGGGCGCTGCGGGCACAGAGCACGTCCCCAGAGACGGTGCTACGGAGGGGGCAGCGGGCTCTGCCCACGGGGGCAGCGGGGCTGGCAGGCACCGCCGCAAGGTCCCTCCTAGAGCCAGGAGCTCTGCGCATCCCTCTGCCCAGCCTGCAGCTGTGCTTCATCCAGCGGCTCTGAGCTGTTTCGCCTTGTCTTGTTTTCCAGGAAAGATCACAGACGCGTTTAATTCTTTGGCCAGGAAGAGCAATTTTCGAGCCATAAGCAAGAAGCTGGGGTTGGTAAGTCCTCGTGGGGCTGCTGCCCTGCTGCTCTGCCCACGTCCCCACTGGTGCCAGAAGAGCTCTGGTCAGTCTGCGCCCGTTCCCGGGTCTGCAGGCTCAGCACCCCGCGACAGGCACTGCACAGACCCAGAGCTGCTGCTGCCGCTCCAGGCAGTGGAGGGGCTTCTCCCCTGGACAGGGAGTCACTGCAGGCTTCCAGCCTGCCCTGGGCCCCACCAGCGCGGTGGAGCAACGGGTACTCCATCCGTGCCGGGGCAGGGCTCACCTCGCCCCCCTGCAAACGCTGCGGCCCCTGGGGTCCTGGGGTGGTGGAGAAGGGACATTTCTGACCCTGGCCCTCCGATGCACAGCCTGCCCCAGCCGTGTGTTTGCTGGCCCTGGCCCCGGGGAAGCCCGGAGCGGGCTGGCCCCGTACCCGGAGCACCTCGTGTCTCTGCAGATCCCCCGGGTGGACGGAGAGTACGACCTGAAAATGCCTCGGGACATGGCTTATGTTTTCAGCGGAGCCTACGTCCCCCTGAGCTGCAAGATCATTGAGCAGGTGAGTCCGCCTGCCGCTGGGGAGCACCACGCGCAGCCCCCCGAGCCCCGGCCGCCTTCCAGGGGGGCCGGCGGGGGGCCCCCTGCCCGGGGCCGGCGCCGGCCGGGTGCCCCCGC